GTATAAAGTGTGTCTCACTCGAGGGCCATCCTCTCCTATGTCTCCCTTTAGAGCTCGAGGGCCCGGCATTCCCTTCATTCCCTTGAAAGCAATGTTAAACAAATGTAATACAAATAATTACCATTAGTTTTGCAGAGCACTTACTTCTTGCCCTTTATTACCGATGAGCCCTCTCTGGCCTTTGTCTCCTATCATGCCCTAAATTTATAGCAAATAATTATCTATTAAAAGATGTAATTAATATAAAACAAGTGATAAATTGATATACTTTTTCTCCTTTAATCCCCGGAACTCCTGGTTCTAGAGTGACATCGGGTGGCTTAACATACTCTGCATTCAATTATATGATTAACCATTAGTTGAATATTTTAAAAGAAAATTTTTCAAATTCAAAATAAGATTAGAATATTCTGGATAAGAAAATCTTTTAAAGCTATTTACTTTTGACTAAATTTTGACAATTTTAATTTAATTAAAAATATGATTGTTATAAACTGGGGCAATAATATTAATATTACCTAGCAAGGCAGGTCCAGGGTCTCCCGGCGCTCCACTTTCGCCTTTTGGTCCCTTTGGGCCATATGTAGAATCACCTAAATGTTGACATTATTTAAAGTAACTGAATATATAATTTTATATTAGTTTGAAAAAATTTCTAATACAGGATTAACTGTCTCATTCAATGTTTAATAAATTTTCTCAATACTTTCTTTTATAATTATAGTACAGTATACTATCAATAGTATACCGGTAATATGAAAATATATTTTATTAAAAATCAAAACATGTTGTAAAATTAATATAAAGATGTATTTAATTTATATTACCCCCTGGTCCTTGAGGTCCTAAATCTCCCATATCACCTTTGTGGCCCTTTAATGTAAAATATAATAATATAAAGATACAGTATATTAACAAAATTGTTATAAAGACCTGACTGCCCATAAACCCAGGGCCACCCTTATCCCCCGGATATCCCGCAGACCCTGGAAGACCTCTGATTCCTGAAATCCCATCCAAACCGGGCTCTCCTTTAATTCCAACCGAATTGATTCCTCCCATTCCTAGTCATGTCATATATATTCATAAAATTTGATACATCGTTATAACCAATGAATTTCAAACCGGGTTCTCCCTGTTATTAAAAAAACAAATATTAGTATAATATAAAGGCATAGTGTATATCCTAAATTGTCACATGTTACTTAATTTAAATATGACAACACAACTAAATCTATAAAAATGGATATACTTTTGGTCCTTCATCTCCCGGATTTCCAGTTCTGCCTGCCTGTCCCGGGTAACCTGGTGGCCCAGGGTAACCAGATCTTCCATCAGTTCCTTTAATAAGACACTACTATTGAATATTGTTTATCAAAATTACTTTATTGTTGAATACCATTGCATCCATCAAATCCTCGTTCGCCTAACTCTCCCTCCAGTCCCGGCAATCCCTGTATTATGCATTTGTGTCAATAAAATTTTAACAAATTAACTCAAGTAATGCTAACCGGTATTCCTGGGGGACCATTAAACCCAGGTGCTCCTATATCACCTCTGATTCCTATTTAAGTATAACATAAAATTAATAGTAATAGTTAACAAGCACAAATGAACAAGGTAAATTGACTGACCTTTTGGTCCAATTTGCCCGAAGTCTCCCTCATCACCTCTAAGACCAATAGGACCGGGCGGACCTTCTTGTCCTATTGGTCCAGGTATTCCTTGAGATCCTTGTAAACCAGGTATTCCTGGATATCCCTAAATATGTGAGTTTTAAATAAAATAAAATAAATATGAGATACAATAAAATCAAGACAAGACTACTGTATGGCCGGGAAGGTTATAATGGTATGACTATCAGACATAAACCACACTTAACACGTATTTCATTCAAAGTCTACAATAAGACTGACTAACAATACATTACAAGAGTATTTCTTATATCTGTATACAAAATATAAATTAAAATACAATAAGTTAGGTACTCTGACTATGGGAAAGTACTTACAAATAATAATACAAATATAACTTTTAAAATAACAATGAGTTAAAAACTTTATTATTTGTAACAAAATTAAAACTCAAGTTTTATTAAAGCTAAGGATGGGACATGTAATATAGTGGCCGAAAATGCCCCCTAGATATAAAACTTATTTCACATTTTATTATATAAATATAATATAACTTAATATCTTTTTTGAAGTTACCGGTATATCTAATTTAATATTTTTTAATTAGTTAAAATTTAAAATTATACTTTTTTAAGATTTAAATTTTACTAAAAAATTAATTATAAATAATTTTGACTAAACTTAAAGATAAATTATAAAACATAAAGAATATTCTGGCAATTATAATTTTTAATTTAACGATAACTTATTTTTTGATTTAAAAATAAAATAAATTCTTTATTATTTTTTAAAATGAGAAATAAAAATACACTTTTTTGTACTCTTGTAATGTTTCTTAAAAACTAATTCTATTCAAAATGTCGCCCTTTTTGTCAACTAATAATTTAAAATTATTTTTTAAATGTAGATTTGCAACTCTAGCCTTAATATATCAACACTTTTGTCAACTCTAAGACAACCGCAAAATTTGTTTATCTTTTTAGTATATTTCTAAACTTTGTTTTAAAAATCTATTTTAAGACTTCCACTAAACTAAACTAAACTAAATTCCTACATAATATAATTTGCTTTATTATTATTATTATTATAATTCCGAAAAATCATATGGATAGTAACTTATTACGAGTTTAATATAATAAAACTTGAGTTTATTTCTAAAATTATTATTTATTTCAATTTTTAAATTTATATTAAATTCATATAAAATAACATACTGGAGTTCCCGGTTCGCCGATGCAAAAACAGGGTTGAACTGTACAGCCATTACAGCGCTATTCAAATAAAAAAGATTTGATATTTTTATTAAAACATATTAAGTATCAATATATTTAAATTTGAATTTCTAAATATAAAAATTATATAATAAAATTATACTTATATAAAATATTTTTTAAACATGAACAATTTAATTGTAAGCTTTATTTACATAATCTTTATTGCTGTCATGATCTGACAGTAGTTTGAAAGTGTTAATCTTACAATGTTAGTGTAGACAATATTCTGGGCGTGTATGTGCTCATTTCTTTGATGTTTTTACAATTCTTTACACTAATATTATATCATAATATATATGTTTTAATTATCTTATATTTGAATAATAGAATAAAATATAGAATTTGCTTTTATAATCTAAACATACATATATTGTATTTTAAATGTTAATACAGTATACTCTGTATAACTTGAATGGCCGACAATTACTTATATACGGTATTCATATGACATTAGAGGGTTGAGCACACCTTTGAGTGCTTCAAGAATTCTAGTAATGCATGCATTTATGGCTTTCAAAATCCGGAAGACATAACCTATTGTCGTGTTATTAGAATATAATTACATATATAATTACAATTATGCATAAATTTAATCCTTTAAAAGTAGATAATTATAGTTGTAGTAAAAGCAGGGAATTTGGTAGTAGAGGTCATATAATGGCTTCACAATTCATCCTGGTCATATAAGTAGAGGTTAGCTTGAGAAGCTTACAAACAACAGATGACTTTAAGTCTATCCCTTCAGACATTTCAATACACTTGGGAGGGGTTGTGAGAGAAAGCAGTTTTAAACGAAATATTTAAATAAATAATCTACGGCTGTATAGTTCGATGCAATTTCACTACAACTACCAAACAAGACATAAATTTGATGATATCATAAGCAATACATTCTTGGAATATAGGTTAACTAATCTTAACATAATTTAAACACTCAAAATAAGCCAAATCTGTATAAAATATAAAAACAAAATTTGTTTACTCATTATGTTTGGTTTGCAATAAATATTCAAATTTTTCAATCCATTGATTGTTGAAAGAAAGCAAAAATAGATTCAAATTAA